AAGTTGCCCCAGTCCGAGGGCCTGGCTCGCGTTAAGTCCGAGGGCCCGCGGCGGCTGTGCACCGACCCGGCGCTGCGGAACCCCGTGCTGTATGTCCAGCTGCTGCGGGCCCTCGAGCGTGGGAACCTCGTCGACTACTGCGCTGACAAGTCGCGCAGCGTGGGCGTCTTCTTGGTTTTCAAGAAGTCAGGGAAGCTGCGGCTCATCCTGGACGGCGGGCGCGCGTCCCTGACAAGGTGAGGCAGGCCCATCGCGGTGGCGGAGGTCGACCTGGCGGGCGCCTTCTACGCGATGCTGCTCCCGGCCGAGTTTCGTCGATACATTGCGCTGCCTGGGCGTCGAGCTGGCCTGCTGGGGCTCGACCGCGCCTCTAATGGGCGCCAGCTCAGCGGGGCAGACATGGTTAACTCGTGCTTCCGCTGCCCGCCCGTGGGTTTCTCCCTCAGCCTCTGGATCTGCCAGGCCACGTTGGAGGCGACCGCCCTGCAGGTGCCGCAGCTCACCGCCTCGAACCGTCTTGTTGACCGACGGCCTGCGCCTCGGGTTACGGGCGAGGTATAATTCACCTAGAGCGCGTGGACAATGCGTTCAGCTTGTCGACGAACCAGGAGGTCGCTCGCGCTGCCGCCCGGGACGTGGACGCCAAGCTCATGGCAGCGGGCCTGCCGAACCGCGGCGTGGGGCGCAGCTTCGTGGCCGCGGCGCCTGGCTGGCAGTGCGATGAGAAGTTGCCGATCATCGGCTTGAGCCCTGCGCTGCGGTGGAAGCTGAGGCTGGCCTCTCTGGAGTTGTGCAGGCGAGGCTTCGCTTCTGGCAAAACCATCGCCCGCGTGGCGTCGCATATCCTTTCGCGCGCCGTGATCCGTCGAGAGCTGTTGTGTTGTATCAATTCTGTGTGCCTTGGCCTCCCAGTGCGGAGGTCGCACAGCGAGGCTATGGGCCTCTTGCATTCGAGAATTGCGATGGTGTTCGGATCTTGCCGTGCTCTGCTTTCGGGGCGCTGGTTCTGTCTTTGACGACGCGCTCACAATTATTGATTAATCACGGTGCGGCGTGGGCGTCGCTCAGAGGGCCTGGAGTCGGAGGTCTCGCATCGCTCTCGCGCCCTGAAGTCCGAGACTCCCGCTGCGCCCTTCGCCCCCGAGTCGGCCGCCCAGTTCGAGGAGAAGGAGGACTATGAGGAGAAGGTCGAATGGGTGGCCCCGATAGGGGCCGAGGCGGAGGGGGCGAACGAGCGTGGGTGATTACCGCTGGAGTTCCCTGAAATCTCGAACGCGATCGGGGCGAAAGGATGGTGCCCGTCGTGTCGCTCTGGTGGAATCGCTCGGAGCATCAGGTCGCTCTCGAGGGTCGTGGAATGGTCGTGGCTGTGCGCAAAATCCTTTGGTGTCTGTCTTCTTCGAGCGCTGCCATTTTTGCGTGGGCGACCGCGTGGGAGTGATTCTCGCGGCCACCAAAGTGCGTTCGTCGCGGCGGGAGATGGGCCGCGTTTGCCGCCGGCTGGCTGTCCTTTCGCTGGCTAGCGGCGCCGCCTTCCCCAGGCGGTGGGCGCCCTCCGAGCGGAACTCCGCCGACCGCGCTTCCAGGAACTTGCCGGGCGCGGGGTGTGCTTCGGCGACAGACGGCTCGCCTGGGTGGACCAACTGCGCCCGAGGGGGCCCCGCCGCTGGCGCGGCGCCTGGACCGAGCCTCGCCCCAGCTGCTCTGCCCGACGGGCCCCGGCAGCCGCGCTCCTTCGGCCTCCCGCCTGGGCTCGAAGAGGAAGCGCCCTGGGGCCCCGGCTGGGGGGGCCTCGGCGCCCGGGGCGGCTCCGTCGTCTGGGGCCGCCCTCGCTGCTGCGGGGCCGCAGGCAGCCGAGCCGCTGGAGGCGCGGCTGGAGTATTTCCACCGGATCTACTTCGACAGGCACGCCGCGCCCGACGGGGCGAAGCTCGTGGCGGCCGAGGCTTACTTCGTGCTAGACCTGCTGCCGAAGCTGGGGGGCCTCACCTGCGTGCAGAGGGTGCTGCTGGGCTGGCGGGCGCTGGGGCCGCCGTGGGCGCGATTGCCTCTGCCCTGGCCGGTGGTGGCGTGGATGGCCAGCTGGTTGGCGGCGAACGGCTGTGTGGCGGCTGCCACGGCGGTCGTCCTGACGTTCGTCCTCCACCTTCGGCCGCCGGAGCTGCTGCCGCTCCGAGTGGGGCCAGTCGCGCGGCCGGCGATGTTTGACCCGCGGCGCCTGAGCAAGTTTTCCATCGTGCTGCTCCCAGCCGACCTGGAGGCGAGGTCCAGGACCAGGGACTACGACATCAGCTTGTTGCGGGACTATCCCGAGTTCAGCTGGGTGGATCGCGCCCTGGGCGGTCGGTCTCCGCGCCGAGGAGCCACTGCTCATGCTGGGCATGCGAGGCTGGACTCACGCCCCCCATCAGGCTGAGGTCGCCCTGCAGCTGGAGGCGCCGGGCCCCCCCGTGCTCCACCGTCGGCGCCGCGGGGGGGGCGGCCGCGAGATGTCGGCGGCATCGTGGTGCGAAGGCGCTGGGAGGCGGGCCGGAGTCTCGCGCGAGTTCAGAAACAGCTCCAACGCCTTCGGCCCCTGCAGCTCGCCCAAGCCACGCAAAGCGCCACGACTACTGGCGTTGCCCTATGCAGCACCTGAGCTCGTGGGCCCACGCGTCCAGCTCGAAGGTGCACCTGGAGATCTTCAGTGGCTCGGGGAACTGGTCGCCGGCGCTGCGGCGAAGCCTAGCTTCCCGCCTGGTGCCTCGCGTCTTCGAGCTCGACGCGGAGCGCGAGCCCGCGCTGGTGGGTCTCTCTGGGCGGAGCGTGCAGCGCCAGGCGCGCGGGTGGCTCCGTGGCAATCTCTTGCAGGGCGTCTGGCTCGGCATGCCTTGGAGCTTGTGGTCGAAGGTTCGGAACAGACCCACGGGGCCCCCGGCCTTGCGTGATCGCGATCACCTGCTTGGCCTGCCCAGCCTATCATCCGTGAACTCTCTGATGGTGATGATAGGAAATCGATTGGCTCAGTTCTCTTTCAGTTTTTTGTTTAGCGTGTGCGCCCAGCGTGACGTTTCAGCAGCCACCGGGGGCCCCGCGACGCCATGGGCGTGGCAAACCCGTTGAGCGCAGCAAACTGCCAGGCAGAACTGTGTAAATATGGTAGATTTTGATTTTTGCGCCTTCGGCACCGCCTGAAGGAAGAGGACTCAAGTGATGTATGTGCATCTGAACCTGGACGTTTTAGAAGATTGCAAATGCGCGGGTCGCGGCTGCTGCTCTCTCTCGCACCGTCCGCGCAAGCCGCAGTTGGGGGAGGCGCCGAAGGGCGCCTTCTGGACTGAGGTGGCTGAGCCTTATCCGCCCGCCATCTCGCGCGTGCTGGCTAAGGCTAATAGTGGATCCAGAATGTCCTGTATGCGCCGTGCCCTGTTGCGTATGACGGCCTGAAGGCCAGGTGTTATCTGCGGAAGTAGCTTTGAGGTCGTTTGTTTGTCTTTTGCACGGCGCCCCCCCTTTCTGTGCGCGAGCAGCTAGCAGCGGTGGCTGGGCGGGCAATGCAATCGAACGGACGTTGCCGTGAGGCTGACCTGCAAAGATGCGCGCCGGGTGGGGGCGTTTGATGCGTGCATGTCTTTCCCCTGCGGCGCCAGGAAGCAGCAAGCCGTCGATGCATGTCGCTTCCAGGATGTGGAGTATGCTGTCCTCTCCGTATCCTGGTCTTTTTGGCTCAACCCTCCTCTCCCGCCGTCGAGCCTGTATAGTTGCTGGTCTGTTCGCTCTGTCTCTCAGGAGGTCGTTTGCTTGTCTTTGGCACGGCGCCCCCCCTATGTGGACGCGAGCAGCTCGCAGCAGTGGCTGGACAATGCAAGCGAACAGACGTTGTCGCGAGGCTGGCCTGCAAAGGTGTGCGCCGGGTGGGGACTAATATGCTATATCATTCCTCGGGGCGGGCTCATCGCCCCCTGGGGCTCTGCTGCACATTGCATATGGTGCTGGCTCATCGCCCACTTTGAAAGTATGAATTTCGTATTTCCCCTTCGTCCCTTCCAAATAATACTGTGCGCGCGCCCAGTAATTCCCAGCAGCATGTCGCAATCTTTCCGAAGCCTTCATCAGCGACACATGGACATCATCATCATCATCATCATCATCATCGTCATCATCATCATCATCATCGACATTGGCGGTGCCAGCATCGGCGCCGCCATTGCGTTTGCCGTCGTCGTTGTAATCACTTCCGCCACCATCATTCTTATTTTCATCGTTGCCAGTGCTGCCGAGGTCATCATGATACCGTTCCCGCTGGAACCACCGACCCGCATTGAAGTGCCCGTGACTCAGCGCGCCCCATGAAGCGCGCCAGGACGTTGTCAGGGGTAAGCGCCATGGTGGCCGCATCGGCTGTGCCAAACCAGTTGGCCGCTCAGCGTGTGAGCTTGCTTTCGCACGCGGCCGCATCGATGCGCCAGCCATGGCCAAGCAGTCATGGCAATCGCCCCCGCGTGGGTTTTGCAAACCAGGTTGCGGGTGGGATGGTGGGGTAATTGTGCGAGCAGCGACGACGTCAATTTCAAGTTCAGCAAGGTGGGTTCCACCTGACATTGCACCACGTGGCTTGCACCTGCTATCTTGCACCACATAGGTTGCACCATGTATCGTGCACCGCGTACATTGAACCACAGAGCTTGCATCACGCATAAGACACTTCCACAGTGCAATCATGCACTGTGTGGGGTCACCTCTTGCAGCCGTTTTTGAAGAGTAGTTGGGTTTCCGTTGGTGCCTCGGGGGGTGTGTCCTGCCGCAGCAGCGGCAGGATTGGCGTCGCAACTTTGGTTCGACGCGCTCTGGGAGAGATCCGGGGATTTCGTCGTGTCGTGTTTGTTGCATGTTTGTTTCGTCGTCATCGTCATCTTGGTTTTCGTGTTCGTCGTCGTCGGCGTCGGCGTCGGCGTCGTCGTCGCTGCCGCCGCCGCCGCCGTGTGCGTTACCTTCGTCGTCCGTTCGTCGTCACCGTCCAGGCGGCCGCGGAGGCGGCGGCCGCGGAGGAGGCGACGGCGGAAGAGCCCAAGGACCGCGGCAGCCAGCGCCGCGCTCGCGGTCTTCGTCGGCCATCGTCGGTCCTTGTAAGTTTCGGGCGGAGGAGGTCGGTGGTTTCCAGAGTTTTTTGTTCGTTGTGCGTCGGGGGGGGGCAGGGCGAAGAGGGGATGGGGGAGGGACGAGAAACTGGGCGAGAGGGATCGAAGGGGGGGGAACGGGGGCGGAGGAGATGGAGAGGGGAAGATGGAGGATGGACCTGCGATGGGGGCGAAGGGGGATGAGGAGGGGGGTGGGGATCGAGAGAGGGCACTATTGATACTTGGCGAATCCCCACCAGCGCTGACACGATGTTTCGACATTTGTGTTCGTCCACTTCACGGATGTCTTCTGGGGGTGCGTGTCGGTCTCGTTCGTTCTGACGTTACCGGCCGAGCCAATCACAGTGTTCGACCTCTACGTGATTTCGGTCGCGCTGCCGCGCCATTTTGGCTGCGTCTACTTGCTGGTCGTTACAGGAATTTTCGGACGCCACCGGGAATGGGTCTACCTGTTTTTTACGCCCTTTTGAGCTGCCGCCGGGCTGCTGCGCCTGTCTTGCTTTCCGCTTTTCGCTGTCTAGTCGTGGCCCGGCTAGAGTTTGGACGCCCTTTGACCCGCTTCGCGAGGCTGTTGACCAAAACGTATCCCCACCAGCTTCTTTTTTTCCCTAGCTGGTGGCACAGCCTGCCCCTGCTTGCGCGGCGTTCGACCCGCTTCGCGCGCCCGCGTACCAAAAAGTACCCCCACCAGCCCATTCAGAGTCGATGCCCATAAGAGTTGGCAGGGGGAGATAGGAAGACACACGCATAGTCGAACAACGAGGGAGGCTTGGGAGGCTCCGTGGCCGTCTCGAACCGTCATGGAGCGGTCTCGGGGCCGTTTTGAGCATCTTGGAAGCTATCTAGAGACAGTTTGGGCTATCTGAGCCATTTTGAGGGTCATACTGGGCTCTCTGACGCCGCTCGGGGGCCTCTTGGGTACCAATCGGGTGCCTCTTGGAGCCCTCTTGGGGCCTCTAGGGGCGCTCTTGAAGCCCTCTTGGGGGCCTTCAGGGGGCCCTGGAGCGCCTCTTGGGGCCATTTTGGAGGCGGTCGATGGAAAGAGGGGGTGTTCTAAATGTAGCTCCCCGTCGGTGGCCACGATCCTCGTGAGGGGTGTCAAACAGTTGCCCTCCCAGGGGCAGGGGCGCAAGAAGGACCCTCTGACACATCGGTCTCCCTCTCCAGAAACCTCAGGGACCAGGAAGGAACGCACGGATCGTCAGCGCAGTCAGCGCCGATCCACGCAGGAAAAGTTGGCAGTTGTCAGCTATGGGGTAGCTCGGCCCGTCCTCCTTTCCTCCTCCATGAGGTCCGTGCAACGATTGGCACCCAATGTCCGAGGCGTCACTTGGCTGACACATGAGCGACGCAAACCAACGGAGCCGTTTGCGCCGACATCGGCGCGTAAGCCGCTGCGTAAGGTCGGCATGCCACCTCGCGTAGGGCCCGTTGTTGATCGCTGCACGCCTGGCTGGCACATTTCCCCAACCAGAGTGCTGGTGCCAAGGGGCTCGCACTTGCATTGCTGAGCACTCGACCGGCTTGTCCAGGGTTTCGCTTGGGGAGCGCCCGTCGCCGTCTCGTCCCGCAGGCGCCTCCTCGCCCCCATCCCTGGGCTAGAACACGGCAGAACATCAAGCCGTTGAGAGAAGGAGGGGGGCTCGGGGACACAGTCACTGTCGGGCCATTGAAGAAGGAACCCTTCTCGTTGGGGAGGGGCACAAGGCTCCTGAATTGTTTTATAGTTTGTCTTGGGTTTGGTTTTCCTTGGGTCGTCTATGGGAAGTCGAAGTTTAACTTATGGAAAAAGGGGCCTTGTTCCTTACGTAGGATTCCTTATGGCAGCGTTTCGACTGTACACCCACATGGTGACTATTCGGACGCACCCCAATCGACTCGGCATCGCTCGGACGCGTGCAGCTTTGAGACCATCCAGGAGCATTTTGGACTATCTTTCGAAAATGCACACGCACGTAATCAAACAACATGTACGGGGAATAGACTTCCGAGCGATGCCGAGTCGAGGACCTACCCCCTGTCCTATATCCCCGAGTTGTCCCGGCGTCCATGCTGAGCTGATCAGTTGCGCGGCGACCTTACTTCAAGCGGGCTTCAAGAGGAGTCCGGTGTCCAGAGATATTGAGGGTGTCCCATTGGTCCTCCTCGTTCCTCCCCCTCCTTCCTCCTTTCCTTCTTCCTTCTCCTCCTCCTTCTCTGACCTGCGGCCAGCCGCGATCATTTTGCTCGCTTCTCAGGTTCGCTGGATGGGTCCTCTGGCCTGCGGCCGGCGCTGGAAGGGGAATTTGTTACTCTTTTCCTGGCGGCTCCGCGCACGGGAACTTTGCGAATAAAGAGTGGCCCCTTCTATCTGGCCTGGATCTGCCGCACTCGTTATCTAGCACCGCACTGCCCTGATGTTGCTGCCGCCCGTGGGGCAGGGCTTGTCCGCCCTGGCCGTCGCCAGCAGTCTATGCAGTGGCTCCAGAGTTTGCTGCCTGCTCTCCGCCCTGTTCCCCTCCCCTCCTCTCTCTTCTCTCTCTTCTCTCTCTCTCTCTCTCTTCCACCCCCTCCCTCCGATGCAACTCCTGTGAGGTCAGATTCTGACTTTGCCTGGCGTCCGAAATCCGGCTCAATCCGGCTCAATCCCGCTTAATCCGGCTTGATTTGGCGTGATCCCGCTTGATCCCGCTTAGTCCGCGGCCTTCTCCGGCGCAACAGCCCCCTGTAATCCTTCCGACGAAGACCTCCCAGTAGTTGCCTCCACCCCCTCCCCTGGTTCTTGCCGCAGCCCCCTCCTCGTTGACTTACTGCGCGCTGGCATTCCAGCACAGCCCGCGGCCCATTCTTTGGGTGACAGCTGCGCCCCCAGAGCGGCTCGCGGCGAGCCCCGGCGGGCCGACCCGCTCTCGTTCTCGCGCCCGCCGTGGTCTCCGGCAGAGGCATTGGCCAGTCGGCGGGCGCCATATTTTGTTTCGGTCCATTCGGAAGCCTCCCATGCGAAGCCTGGGATACAGTGGAGTCCCATGCCAAGAAACACCCTGCTTGCCTCCAGGGTGCCTTGGGTTTCCTTGGCTTCGAAAGTTTTGCTATGGAGCGCGGGACTTTCCCACACCAAATATCAAGGGACGTCCTGGGGTCTCAGTGTTGGGTTTCTTGTGGAAGGTTTTTTGTGGTCGAGCTCCTACTGTATGGTGTCGATCGCCGCCGCGCTCGGGCGGGAACCCGAGGGGGGTGGCCCTGGGACAGAAAATCAATTTCCCGGGTAAAATCGGACTCACCCCGGGAAAATCGGACATTCCCTGGTGCATCTTTGAGAAGCTTCGAAAGCTTTGATTGTCTCTCAGAAGCTTCTGGGAAGGTTCTAGGGGGCTTCTGAGAAACTTCTGGGAGGCTTCTGAGAGGCTTCTGAGAGGCTTCTGAGAGGCTTCTGAGAGGCTTCTGAGAGGCTTCTGAGAGGCTTCTGAGAGGCTTCTGAGAGGCTTCTGAGAGGCTTCTGAGGGGCTTCTGAGGGGCTTCTGAGAGGCTTCTGAGAGGCTTCTGAGAGGCTTCTGAGAGGCTTCTGAGAGGCTTCCGAGAGGCTTCCGAGAGGCTTCCGAGAGGCTTCTGCGAGGCTTCTGCGAGGCTTCTGAGAGGCTTCCGAGAAGCTCCTGAGAGGCTTCTGAGAGGCTTCCGAGAGGCTGAGGCTTCTGAGAGGCTTCCGAGAGGCTTCCGAGAGGCTTCTGAGAGGCTTCTGAGAGGCTTCTGAGAGGCTTTTGCGAGCTTCTGCAAGGCTTCTGCGAGCTTCTGGTTGCTTCGTCCGTTTGCCTACTGGCGTCTACTACTCCTGCTGCTGCTGCTGCTGCTACTCTTACTCTTACTACTACTACTACTACTACTACTACTACTACTACTACTACTACTACTACTACTACTACTACTACTACTACTACTACTACTACTACTACTACTACTACTACTACTACTACTACTACTACTACTACTACTATCACGATTACGATTACGATTACGACTTCTACTCCTCTTATCACGTCTGGTACCACTACTACTATTATAGTTACTCCTACTACTCCTACTCCTACTCCTACTGCGACTACTATGACTACTACTACCACTACTACTTACCTACTACTACTACTACTACTACCTACTACTACTACTACTACTACTACTACTACTACTACTACTACTACTACTACTACTACTACTACTACTACTACTACTACTACTACTACTACTACTACTACTACTACTACTACTACTACCACTACTACTACTACTACTACTACTACTACTACTACTGCTACTGCTACTACTACTGCTACTGCTACTGCTACTGCTACTGCTACTGCTACTGCTACTGCTACTGCTACTGCTACTGCTACTGCTACTGCTACTGCTACTGCTACTGCTACTGCTACTGCTACTGCTACTGCTACTGCTACTGCTACTGCTACTGCTACTGCTACTGCTACTGCTACTGCTACTGCTACTGCTACTCCTACTCCTACTCCTACTACTACTACTACTACTGCTGCTGCTGCTGCTACTACTACTACTACTCCTCCTCCTCCTGCTGCTGCTGCTGCTGCTGCTGCTGCTGCTGCTGCTACTACTACTACTACTGCTGCTGCTACGACTACCACTACGACTGAGACTAATACGACTACTTTCCTACCGCTGCTACTACTAGGACGACTACTGCTAGTACTACTACCAACTGATAGCTGCTCACTACGAAGTACCAACTACTACTACTTCTAGTATTATTAATAATACTATTACGGCTGCTACTACGACTTTTACTACTACGACGACGACTACTACTACTACCACCACTACTACTACTACTACTATTGCTACTTATCCTACTGCTACTGAGACAGCTACTATTACGACCACTACTACTACCACGAGTACTACTACTAGTACTAATATTATTATTATTATTTCCA